GAGGGAGCACGGCGTGCTCCCTCCCTCACGGGGCTCAGAGCGGTTTGAGGAGCCGCTAGCCCACAAGGGGTCGGTCCGGGTGATGCCGAAGTTATCTCCTGCTGGAGATAGGGTTTGGCAGCGGTCGGAGGGAGCTCGGCCTCTCGGACCTGCCTGAGGGCCGGCCCCGCTGCTCGGGCCCGCTTGCAGGCCGGGCGCTGTGGTTGGCCCCCCCCTTCCCCATGTTGGGTGCAGTATTTAAAGCTTTTCCGAAATGACGTGGAAAGTTAGTAAACTGTGTGGAGGAGTGGGTAGGGACAACAAAACCTAACACTTTAAATCAGTGGCCGCTGATCTAAAGTGTGCCTTTTTGGCTCTTTTCTGTTTACCTTCTGAGAGAACTGAAAAGGTGATTTACCTCTATGACTTCCAAAATGTTCTGAGTGGTGCCTTGTCTTAGTAAGACACTTCCATTTTTGTTGGCCAAATGTTTGTGGCTTTTCAGACTTTTAGCCACTTGTTTCGACTTGTGGGCCTTTTTATTGTATGGATGGTTTTCAAAATAACTTTACACAGCTGTTGGTACTGCTGAGCACCAAAGGCCAGTAGAGTTAGGAAAAAAAATACATATATGGAAAGAAAAAACAGGGCAGACTAAGAAAGCCTTTATGTTCGGGTTTGCTATCAAAAATCACCACAGCAGTCCTTATATGGTGGTTTTCTGGGGATTGAGGTTAAAGAGATGGACTTAAACCATTACCTTTTATGTCTAGTTCTGGCTTACTGTATTTACAGTATTACTGGTAGGGTTGGAAGTTTTGGGGGGATTGGATAAGCTGAAGCTTTTGTTTCCAATTTTGGTTTTTTTTTTTCTAATTTAGGATGTTTTCTACCCCAGTGTTGAAGGGCCATATGCCTTTGTTGGTACAGATGTGGTATGGCTGAGAAGATTGTTGCAGTTTTTTATATGCTTTGATATAGGTCTTAGAAATCACCCGCTGTGGTTAATGTTGATCTGGTAAGGTGTTTGTACTGCCTGACTTGTGTGACTGAATTAGGACTTTGTGAGTAGCTGACAGAGCCTTCAGAGGGCAGTTCAGACTTGGCTAATGTTTTGAATTGTCCTCTCAGGGCTCCCTTGATGAGCAGGGTGCCCTAGGCAGCTTCACTAATTCAGGCAAACTAGTTGGATTCCCTGCAGTTACACGGAGTGAACAGTCCCTGTGTATACAGGGATTCCTAGAAAATCTAGGACTTGTTTACAAAATGCTAGTTTTAAAAAGAAAAAGAGTCTTATTTCTTTTGAATGATTATAAGTGTTGGTAGTAAGCTAATAATTATCGTCAGATACCCAAATTATCTTTCTAGGATTCATAAAGGAGTTTGGTTTTTTTGGGTTTGGGAGGGATGGTGGTGGTTTTGTTTTTTTTGTCAGTCCTATAAACGCAACAAGGATGCCAGGTTTTTACAGCAATGAGAAATGATCTGATCCTAAATATTGTAAGGCATGTTGATTCATGTTGGGATTCAACAAATCTTTGTTGAATTAAAGTTGAAAATTAATTTATGCTTATTGACAAATAAGAACTTGTGCTGCGCTTGTTTATTGGGGGTTTTATAATATTACCACCTCCTCAAAAAAAAAAAAGCCTTTAGAACAAACTTTTTCTGTTTCCCCTCTCTCTCTTATTCATTCTTATGTTTCTTACTGTCCATTGTAAAGGAGTAGTATCACTGCTACTAAATTTAATTTCTTTTGGTTTACACTTCTTGCCAAATGATCCCCAAGGTGAAAAAATAAAAGGTAATTGTATTGAGTTGGTATGCAACTGACCTGAAATGGTTCTCTGTTCTTTGTCTTTTCTCCTTTCCTGGCAGTGTTTTCCAAATCCCCCACATATTCATGAATATGATGCTGACCTCCAAATTTTTACAAATTAAAAAGTAGTTTTAAATGAAGTTTATTCTCATCCATTACGGCATGTATCGTGGTCTAGGGATTACATGATATTGTACATTCTAATAATGTAATAACACAGTATGGACAGGAGAAAGAATTGCAGCATGTGTTTTCCTTTCAATGTTGCAGAAAATACTATTTGTAAGGAGCATTCTTTAGGATATTTCATTCAGGAGATTGAGTATTCTGTAAACAAACCTATAGAGATCATGCAGTTTCTTCTGCTGTTAAAAAGCCTCGTGAAGTGGTGTGATAATGTGAGCTGATCAGTTTTACGAGAGAGGACAAATGTGCTGGCATAAGGTATTAAAACTATGGGTCAATGTTTTCAGTTTAATATAGTTTTATTTCAGTGAGGATTTATAGCACTCTCTTGTTTTTCCTCTTTCAGATTACAGCAAAAACAGCTGTCATTTTTGTTACACTTCAGTATAATGTTACCTTTCCTGCCACAGGTATGTATGTTGTAGGAGGTTGCTTATGAGACAGTGTATTCAGATGTTAGTAGTATGCTGTATATTCTAGGCTGAGGGTACTTGAATTTGTCAGTTTGAATAGATTATAAGCAATTTTTAAGGACTTCACTTTATTTTTAGTAAAACTCCATTTTAATTAATTAGGTTAGGGACAGTGGTTTTGTTCTGCTGGATTCATCATTAGTGCTAAAATACCATCTGATTGGTAGATCAGTTCCCATTAATTCTTACTCTGGTTTTGCAAGTGGCAATCTTTACTAGTCAAAGCAGGGTGGTAGTTTAACATAATTTTATAGTCCCCTTTCAATGCGTTTGGGTAAGCTTCCTAAGTGCACTTAAGTTTTCATTGATGTGAAGTGCTGGAGGAGAAGACTATAAACAGCCTAATGACCGAGCTCATGATGGTAGTTTAATTTGACTTCTGTTTGTTCAGCTCACTGCAAACTACTTCTGTCCAAAAGGTTTCACTTGGAGAAACAAACTTATTAGCCCTTAAACTGTATTGGTGCCTAACAGTTAATTCTGTTTGTCTTTTAGAAGAACAATCTGCAGAAACAATCTCTCTCTACAACTATGGCATCAAAGACTTGGCTACAATTTTCTTTTACATGCTTGTAGCAATAATCATACATGCTATAATTCAGGAGTATGTACTGGATGTAAGTATGAAGTATTAATTCCTTTCATCAAGATAATTGTCAAGTTTTAATTAGAGTTTGAGACTATTAACTTAAAAGTAAACTCTTGCATTAAAGCTTTTAACTGTTAAAACATGCATTTAAACTTTTAGATGTTAACAGGTAAATGTTAAGTACTACAGTGTATAAATAACGATGGACTTTCATTTCAGAAAATTAACAGGAAAATGCACTTTTCAAAAACAAAGCATAGCAAGTTCAATGAGTCTGGGCAACTTAGCGCATTCTACCTTTTCTCCTGTGTTTGGGGAACAAGTATTCTTGTCTCTGTAAGTATGCTTTCTCTTCTGTTTGTAATATGAGATTTCAAAAACTTCACTTACGATGATGATGATAAATAAGATTAATATGAAAGCGGGAACAAGTTTAGGAATTCTGTGTAGGTTGTAGTCATAACTGAGTATAAAGTCCAATAGTGCTTCTGTTTCTCGGTCTGAGTTAACTTGATTTACTGTTAACTGAAGAAAGTAAAACTTCTTAAATCTGTTATGGTACTTCATTCTCTATATAGTTTTTATGTGTTGGTTTATCAGCATAAAATACATGCTTAAAAAAGCATAACACGCAGCATTGTGGCAGCATAGGGAATGGGTGTATGAACAGATTGCTGTAAGCTCCAGTGAGTGTGTGCTTTCAGATTATGTGCTCTTTGCTGGTGTCTGTATGTGTATGAGCTTAGTTTCACAAATGGGAAAGACTTAATTTTTTTTTTCTTTAACATAATGGCTCCTGAAACAACTTTCCTTAGTTAAGCTCAAAGCTTGTCAGCAGCTTACAAGGGAAAACTTATGGCTGTAGTGATGCTGAAATAACCTCCGTCTCATAAGGGCACAATCTTGAACGAGCACTTGGTTTGTTTAGTTGCTTTTTATTTTTCTAAGCCAATAGAGCTGTCTTTTGGGTTTTGGTTGGTTGGGGTTATTTTGTAAAAGGAAATACATTGATCTACAGCTTCTACTTGTGTGTGTAGATGTGTGCATATTTGTATGTACACATACACATATATATATGTATTTATTTTCTTTGATCATTTCTGACTAGGAAGTGGCATCTTTGAAGGCTTATTGGGTTTTTGTGTGTGTTTGGTTTTTTTAGGAGAACTATATATCAGATCCAACCTCTCTGTGGAGGGACTATCCGCACACTCTGATTCCGTAAGGCCCCTTCCTTAGAGGGTTGCTGGGGAGAGGAGGGAGTGTTTTAAACTTTGGGTGTGTCGTGTAGAATCTGTGTAGAATAAGTAGCCTGTAATGCTACATTAGTCGCTAACATATTTTTGCTCGTACTTGTGGAGGAATTTGATTCTCATATAAATTTGTATCATACAGAGTTCTCTTTCTGTAGGATATTATTTTAAAAATTAAGTTTTTGGAAGCTTTGCATATTGTAATAATTTTACTTTTTAAAAAAAGCTTACTTATGAATTAGGTGACTTGAAGGATCTATTTTTTTGCTTTAGAGACAGGGATTAAATGTGTTCACTAGAAAGTTTCTAGAATATTTTAAGTTCATTAATAAAAAGTAATATTCTTCAATTCTTGCTGTATTGTACAGGTTTCAAATGAAGTTTTTCTACATCTTACAGTTGGCATACTGGTTTCATGCTTTTCCAGAGTTGTACTTCCAGAAAACTAAAAAAGTAAGTTTAGAATGTAAATCAAAAGAACTCCAAAGGGACTCAGAACAGTGGAAAAGTTAATTTCTTTTGGTCTTCCAGAGTAATGCATTACTCTAGATTTCCTGCACTGTTCTTATTTGTGTTACCCATTTTTCCTGATGGAATTTTGGGTGCTCAAATGTCCATTTGAGAAGGTGGGGTTTTTTTCTTTTCAGTTAAATCCTATATGTTTAATTGCAGTACAATCGGTGTATATCTGTTGTGTAAATAAAACTTACTGGTGTTTCACATCTAGGAATTTTCCTTGAGCAAATGTATGCGATCTTTTCTTTTCAAACTCTTTTATTGTTTGTTTCTTTCTTGTAATTAGTAGTCTGAATAGTCCCATTGAAATCTATAATTGCTTCATGAATCATGATAGAGGTGTAGAATATAAGCAGTGAATGATTTGATAAATCCAAGGAATATTAACCTTTGGGATTTGATTTAAATGCCACCATCCTCACCAGAAGTTCTGGTTAGTTGAATACTGAGATTTTTCAATTTTTAACTAAATCCTTTTCCCCATTAAGAGTTTTCTCTTTTGGGATTCCCAAAACACTGAGTTTACTGCAGATTTTTTGTTGCACAATTTTTGCCTTCATGGACCAATTTAAAGTAGTCTCTTTGCATGTCTTTCCTCAGGCTCATTTTGCATATTCAGTTTCCTTTTCAAACTTTTAAAGTCTTCAGTATGACTTCACCAAGGGCAAATGATGCTTGACTAATTTAGTGGCCTTCTACAGTGGAGTGACTGCATTAGGTGGATGAGGGAAGAGCTATCGATGTCACCTTCCTCAGCTTCTGTTAAAGCTTTTGATACGGTCCCCCACAGCATTCTTACCTCTAAATTGGAGAGAGATGGATTTGATGGATGGACTGTTAGATGGTTGAGGAACTGGCTGGATGGCTGCTTCCAAAGAGTTACAGTCAGTGGCTCAACGTCCAAGTGGAAATCAATAACAATACTGGGACCAATGTTACTTAACATCTTCATCAGTGACATACAGTGGGATTGAGTACACCCTCAGCAGGTGTGCAGATGACACCAAGCTGAGTGGTGCAGTTGATTTGCTTGGGGGAAGGGATGCCATCCAGAGGGATCTTGACAGGCTTGAGGAATGGGCTCGTGTGAACCTCATGAAGTTCTACAAGGCTAAGTGCAAGGTCCTGCACCTGAGTCATGGGCATCTCCAGTGTCAATACAGGCTGGGGGATGAAGGGATTGAGAGCAGCCCTGCAGAAAAGGACTTGGGAGTATTGGTGGATGAAAAGCTGGACATGAGTTGGCAATGTGTGCTCGCAGCCCAGAAGGCCAGCTGCATCCTGGGCCACATCAAAAGAAGCGTGGGTAGCATGTCAAGGGATGTGGTTCTGCCTCTCTGCTCTGCTCTGGTGAGACCCCACCTGGAATACTGCATCCAGCTCTGGAGTTCCCAGCACAAGAAAAAGGAGCAGGTCCAGGGGAGGGTCATAAAGATGATCAGAGCGATGGAGCACCTCCTATGAAGAAAGGCTGAGAGAGTTGGGGTTGTTCAGCCTGGAGAAGAGAAGGCTCTGGGGAGAGCTTATTGCAGCTTCACTATTTGAAGGGATCTTACAGGAAAGATGGAGAAAGACGTTTCTATCAGGGCCTGTAGTGACAGGACAAGGAGCAATGATTTTAATCTGTAAAAAGGCAGATTTGAATTAGATAGGAAGAAATTCCTAATAAGATGAGGATGGTCAGGCACTGTAACAGGTTGCCCAAAGAAGCTGTGGATGCCTCTTCATTGATGTTCAAGGTCAGGTTGGACTGGGCTTTAAGCAGCTTGTTCTAGTTGAAGATGTCCCTGCTCATTGCAGAGAGGCTGAATTATAAAGGCTCCTTCCAACCCAAACCATTCTGTGATTCAGTTGTTGCTCCGTGACTAAACTGCATCTCTGCTGCCAGAATTCTGCTTTATTCAAGAAAATGAAGCATAGGTGTTGTGTAACCTTAGGTCTTTGTTCAAGAGCCTAGAATAGATGCTAAAAAGTAATGAGATGCTTTGTTTTCATGCTGATCAGATGCAGTATAAACACTTAAATGTTTTGCAGATACGCTGCAGCTGATGTTTCCATATTGGTATAGTGATATCTCACGAATTTGACTTCATATCCAAACGTGGAGGTTTTTTAACAACTTCCAAGAAAGTTGTCACAAGTGCCAGAAGTGCTGTATATTGAATAGTAGTGTTTTACTGGGTCACTGCTTTGAATTTTAGCTTTTGTCTTTTGCATTAAGTTTTAAGAGTGATAGTTCATCGGTTTTAGCAAGTTCGTAGCTTATATTTCTTTCACCACAGTTTAACCTCTGCTATCTTGGCTTCTCTCAAGTCTAGTTTTCTCCATTGCTGATATAGACAAGCAAAGAAGTTCTTACCTCAGCTTTCTGTATAGTAGTGTATACCTCCACCTGCATTATTTCAGTGGGCCTTCAGTCTGCTGACAGTTTGTCGAAGCAGGCAGCATGAGCTATTTAAATGTTACCTCAGTTCTGAAGAGGATGTGCAAAAGGCTCATCCTGGTAGTACTTTGACAAACTGAGCTCTTGTACTGACTAATCTCTAATTTGTCTGAAAGAACTCATTTTTTTGTTTTCTTTCAGATCACTTAGAGTAGGCCTCTCTCTTTTCTCAGTCTTCATGTATGAGTGTGGTGTTTGCTGTTGTCACAAGTGTTCAGTTCTGTGCTTTTGTTGGTTTTGAGATGGAGTAATACATAACAGATCATAGCTCTTGCAAGATTAGATTTTTAGGCTTTTTTTTAATTGCATGTATACAAGACAAAGCTGAAACTTCTTGCTTCAAATTTAGGGAATCTTTCCAGATAGTTGGAGTTTCTTAAGCACAACTGAATATACTCTGCATACCACTTCAAAACAGATCTAGCATGTGATCTAGCATACTTCAGTGATTTTTCTGTTCACAGATGTCACCTTCTTCTTTCTGTGTGCTGTGCATCTATACTTCAAATAATGTCTCTTCCTCTTTATTATTTTGTCTCCCGTAAGTGTTCAATAGAATGGGGCTGGCTAAAACCTAACTTGTAGTGTGGCTACATGGCTTAGTTAATAACTGGTTAATAACATTATTCCCTGTATTTGCCAGCAACAGTGTGCCAGAATCTTGGATGATCTTAAATTTTTCAAATAGATGTCAATACTTTGAAACAGTTTCATTTTGGTTCATAGACTGTTATTTTATTTCTGTAGAGATCTGACAGAATCTGAAGGCAGCAAAGATGCGGAACTGTAGGAAATGATCTGATGATACATGCAGTAATACATAACAAATAAGTATTCCAGTAGCTAGTAAAAATTCACAGTAGTTGTGTCAAATAAAACTGTGCCCTTTTAAGAAGCATCTATTTGATGTTTGATGGGTTTTCTCACAATAGTGTAAGTCTAAGATACCAAATTTTGTGGGTTAGTAAGCAATAAGTTGTGTGGTGATCTAGGCAGAGTAATTCAGTGCCAGAACAGTCCACGTTAACGTAGCTGATAAACCAAGAAGAATTTCCAAGGCTAGGGAATAGTTTGTAATAATATATAACATCATACAATAATGTATAACTTTGCGATAATGCATACATACTTTTTTCTTTCAAATAGGAAGATATCTTTCGCCAGATTGTCTACATTGGACTTTATCTCTTTCATATTGCTGGAGCCTATCTCCTGAAGTAAGTCAGTTGTAAGCTTTTGCTGGCTTTGTTCACTGTCTTAAATGTCTTAACAAAATGCCTGAATGTTTGTTTTAATTGTTTTGATAGGCTGACCCATCTTGGACTTGTTCTTCTGGTATTGCATTACTTTGTTGAATTTCTTTTCCACATATCCCGTCTGTTCTACTTCAGTGATGAAAGATACCAGAAAGGGTAAGTAGTCTTTAACTTTTAAATTCATGTAATTTCTGTCTCAAAGTCTTGTGCATTTAATTAACCAGAAACCAAAATTACAAGTTCAAACAGTGTTTCCTTAGAGGCCACATATCTGCAGACTAGTTTTTGTATTTATATCTCTAAAACAACTGGTTTTTTTACCTTATTCATGTGTTTAACTAAATGTTAGTAGCAGTATAAAAATAAATAAAATCTTACACTATATACTAAAGTTTTTTTTAAGTTTTGTAGAGAAAGGAACAGCATAGGTTGCTAACACAGCCAGTTCTATAGGAACCAATAACATGCCGATGTTCTATTAGTAATGGAAAGCACTTTCCATTGAGTTTAAATTAGATTTCAGAGCATACTTTTGGGTTGGGGGTGGGTGGGAAGGCAGTGCAAACAAAAATTAAGTTTTCACATGGTGAAGGGTAAACATTTGCATTGTTAGTACTTGTGAATGGAAAATTCATGTAGTGATTGTGATGTTTCTGTTTGTAGATTTTCACTGTGGGCAGTTCTTTTTGTGTTGGGAAGGCTTCTCACCTTGATTCTCTCGGTCCTCACTTTTGGCTTTGGACTGGCAAGAGCAGAAGATCAGCAGCTGAATTTCAGTACTGGAAACTTTAACATCCTGGCTGTTAGGTATAGTAAACTTGGAATGGTTCTTAGGCATGTAAAACCTGTGTTAAATACACAATATAAACAATATGGCATTAATGCTAGTAATTCTGAATGGTTGGGTGTTTTCATGCAACCAATGGGATCGATAGGAATAGCTTCAGTAACAAACTTGTAAGGCACAGTGAAATTAATTGAAGCACTTACAGTCTACAGCTGAGAAATCTGTATCTGGTTATTCATTTTTTTGTCAGAAAAAAACAGTTTGAAAGTGATCTCTGTAATTGATGGTCCTTTAAATGTTTCAGAGTTAACTGCAGTTATATCTAGAATTCAGTTCACTGATTCTATCTATAGAGGGCAAAGCAGTATTCCCAGAGCATCTTTGGGACTGATTGAAGATTCCCATCTCTTTAAGGTGTTGTTATTTGGCACACAGAGAGTAAATTGAGAAAGGATAAAGCAGGAAAGAAGTCTGGTGCTTCCCAGTTTTGATGGAGGAGCAAAGGCTTCATTCTCGCTGTATATTTAGTTTTGTTCAGCTGTGCTAAGCCTAGTCACTCTATGTGAGCTAATTCTTGTGTGGCATAGAAAGTGAATGTTACTAGGGGCATATCACAAAAAAACCCAGAACACTGATCTTTAACAAGTTCACGTTATCTGGAAGGGATCACTCTAGTGTGTTTGAAGAACCTGAATAAAAAGACAGTCTATGACACATAAAAATTATTCTGAGATGGTGTTCTACTTTCCTTTCCTTTCTGAATAATGACAGAAACCTACTGATAAGCCTTTACCTGTGTTTTGTGTCTAGAATCAGTGTGCTGGCCTCCATCTGCATGACTCAGGCGTTTATGATGTGGAAGTTCATTAATTTTCAGCTTCGGAGGTGGAGAGAGCATTCTTCTCAGCCTCAGTCGGTGAAAAAGAAGTTCGTAACAACTAAAGGAAAGTCCTCCAGAAAAGAAAGAGGTCTGTATTTTCAGTTTTCCTGTTACCTTGACTTCTCAAAAACAACTTTAGGTAGTGGAGAGCCTTTTTTTAATGTAACTGCTAAAAAAGATTTTGTGTTTCACTTGCAAGTGAGATGACTCAGTTGCAGAAGTATTGGTGAATATTGTGGTGCGTTCGGGTTTTCTTAATTAAATTCACTATATATTAATTGTTTGGATTTTCTCTTCTAGTTGACTGGAGAAATTACCATTTCTTTAGTTAATGCAACATGAGTTTTTTATTATGTCTGATTTCATTACTTGAGCAAAACGTGTCATGCTTATGTTTTGTTCCCTTATAAAAAAGGAACAGACGCATTTTTAGATTTGTTCTCACGATCAATTACTCTGAATTTTTCTTGCAATTAGTTTGAAGCTTGTTTTTCATTGCCAATAAATTCTGAGGTTTTAGGGCAAGGAGATGGTTTGATGATCCAGTAAATAAGCTTTTTATGGGACTATTTTTACTAAAAATGGAATTTTGATACTTAACTAGTGACTCCAAGTTTGACTTCTTGATTATGTCACACTTCTTATGGAAAGAACATGAAAGATGAACTGAATCCTTTTTCCTCCAAGGGAAATTGTGTTCTGTTTAGAAAGAAAAATAAATAAAAAAATATTAAAAACCCCTCACACTTCAGTATTTCTGTTGTACCAACAGCCAAGCCTCCGTGTATTTAATTGCTGGCTTGAACAACTTCTGCACTTTTTTGAAGCTGCTTGAGTAATTTCAAAAGCTTATTTCAGCATGATCCCTTGCTACTGATCATGTGTTGCTAACCTGTTCCACCTATTGATATGCTGAACGTAAAGTGTGTGGAGAGCACTTGCCCCCAGAAATGCAATTCGTGGTCAGAGATCAGTTCTGTGATTTTTTTTTTAATTATTTTTTTTAATATTATTTTGAATTGTTTTTTCAGGTTTCTTTTCTATTAAAATCATGTGCTTTGGAGTATTTCTGTGCTCCTTTTTGATTTATAATTATCACAACTTGGGTTTTGTGTGTTGTTGGGGTTTTTTGTTTTTGTCAGAAACTTCAGTTGGACTTTTTTTAAATTGAGTGAATGTAGTTTCCTATGTAGGTGTCCCAGTTAATCAGAGCTTCATGTTCATAGTGTATTGCTATGTTAATATGACAAATATTTTTAAAGCATAAACTTAAATGACATTTTAATCAATGAGTCAAAAATGCAGTAGCTTTTAAAAATACCTTTAACTATTTCGTTCACATAATTTGGTGAATTTGCTGGGTTTCACCCAACTTCAATAGACTTGCAAGTGGTAAATTAATAGTGAAAAAGGCAGTTAACTGGACTTGTGGTTTAATTCACAAAATAATTGAGCTAAACCTGCCTTAAAGACTGGGGAATTTTCCGGCTTATTTAAAATGGAAATAAATGAACTTTAGAATCCGAAAGGTTAGTGTTGTTTCAGATTCTTCTGTTGTGAAGATTCCTGTAGTGTTATCTGTTCAGAACACGCACACAGGATTCAGCAAGACAGTGGTTTTGGAATAGTAATATATGCAATTAAACTGTTTAAACAGTCTTTTTTTCTTTTCTTTTTTTTGTGGTGGAATGGATTTTTAGGAGCCAGGGTGCAATAAAATGTTACTTTTGGACTGTGCCAAAAGCAAGAAATGACAGTAAAAAAAACCTGCTGGTGGTGTAGGTGGGGTACTCGGGCACATGCTGATGCTCGTTCTTTGTTTTACTTTCACTTGTTTTGACTTCACTGTTTAAGAAAATACAACTTCAGTTAGCTGGCTTGGGTCTAGCTCATTGTTTGTAAGCTTCTTGGTTTAAGAATAACAAACTTTTTGAAAAGTATCCAAAGACCACCTTATGTAGGCTTAAAATGGTGTGTCATTTGCAACCAAATATGTTGCATAGACTTTGTTCCTGTTTGACTAATGGGGCCTCTGTCTGGTCTCATTCTCATGTAGGTTTCTGACTTTATTATTTTCTTTCAGTTTCTTGTTTGCATAAATGGGAGTGTTTGGGTGTAGTGGGGAAAAAGAGATCAGCAAGTTTTTTTTGTGGATTGGCCGTGCTCTGTGGTGGTTGGTAACACATCTGCAGATGGAAAACATTAACTTAACCAGTTACTTGTACAAAAACATGCAATGGTTGCTTGAAGTCAGAATGATGCTCCAAGTCAGAGCAGTGATGTTAAGCAGCAGGCATTATAGCTCGCTCTGCTCTCTGTTCTTCAGTCTATTTTAGAAATAAGGTTGCTGTCAGGCAGCATCTCTGCTTCCTTGAGTTGTGGTGATGCTGAATAAAGGGGATACCTTTAATTCACGGTGGTATCAAAATTGCTCTGTTTTACTGCAAGTTGTGTGCATTATAAATCCACAGATTGTGGGTTGCTGTTCTACCTGCACAGATTAAAACTCTTGAGACCTTTAAGTTGGCCCCACTAAGAAGCGGGATAGAAATAGAGAGTTGCAGCTGGTAATGTGTTCTTGCTTTGTATTCTTAGGTGCCTGGTGTTGTGCTTCAACTCTTTTCATGTCTACATACTCATCTCAAATCTGTGTTTTACTTCTGTCCATCTTATCTTGTAAATATCTTCATCAACATAAATTAATTCTGTCTTTTAAAGTATATACTTACAAAAATTGTGTGTATAGGTTTTCTATACATATGGAAAGTTTGTAAAGGTAAGTGAAGGAGTGTAGTTTTAGCAAGAATTAAAATGTTAAATAGGTGGAATAAACAACAAAGACCTATACCAGGGAATTGTTTGCATACTGTGTCTCTCCAGAATTTCACAGGACAGTCTCATCTATAGTTTGAGCATTTTAATTTTTAACAGAATACCTTATGAAATATTATAGCTGGTCTTACTTTTCAGTCTAGGTGTATATAATGCACAGAGTTCAGTGTTTGGGCATGTCAGGAAACCGGGATTTATCATAGTAAACTTAAATTTTGCGCTCTGTAAAAACTTCATTATACCATTGCATTATGAATGATAATGATGAGGTTTAACAAATAATTTATATCAGAAAAGAAGTTAAAAAGGCTGTTTCTATAGAACCAACAAAAATGTAATAAAAATATAAAGCATCTCATATTTGAATTTTTTTTTTCTAGAAAATGGAATAAATGGAACAGTGACCTCAAATGGAGCAGACTCGCCTCGTAACAGGAAGGATAAATCCTCGTAAAACTGGGTTTTATTAAGTTAATTGACTAATGTCCCCAAAGAATCTGCTTTTTACATGGATGGCCCTTCAGCACTAGAGATGTTATGGATTAAAGAAAATACAATTCATGTTTTTTGATTATTGCTGTTGTTTTGAGAAACTTTTTTTAAAAGCCGTTTTGACTAAGGAAAAAGGTTTATCTGTCTTCAAATACTTGGGTGGGGTGGGATACAAGACTTTTTAAATAACATTGACACTTTTTTAAACATTTATTGTGATGAAATAACTTCACTTAACGAGGATCACTGTTGCAATGTATTACTTCGTCCCAGTTTTTGTAATCTTGGTGATACATACTGTTCTACCAACTTCACTTTTTCCAAGTTCTTCAAGAAGCATTGCAAAATTGAAGTAAAAACTGAGTATGTATTTTCAGATACCCTGGCTTTTCAGTTAATTACCTTGATTCAAATTTACAGTTCAAATTGGGATTCCGAGACCACACCAGTAAACCTCTTTATTTTGTAGTTATTAGCTACGCAATGTCTGCTCTAAGTATTGCCCCATGTCATTAAAACAAAAGTGAAATAATTGGACATGTTGCAGAGTCTTGTTTGTTGGTTAGAAATCTCTTACAAGGAACAAAAACCCTTTTTGAGATATAGCTTTAGCACTTGAAAATTAGAAGGGAGCGTGTGTGGTCATAGAGAGAGTTGATTTGAGTAGCACTGTTAACTCCCATCTGTGCTTTTCAGGTGTCTGTATCTTGCAGAATTAGTGTGCATTGGACCTTCTTTGGAAACTTGTCTGATTTTAGCGGGTGGAGGTTCTTAGAATGTGGTGGTTTGTGTGTTTTAGGAGGCATTTAATGCTCCGTGAAGAGGGAATTTGTTAGATAAATGGATCAAGTTATGAGAAACATTCCTTTATTCTAACTGCTTTGCTTTGTTTCACCTTTGTTAGGAAATAGTTTGATTTCTCCTACATATATATTTTTATGAAAAAAATATTTAAAAGCTACAACTTCTTAAAATTGATTTATTGTGCCCTTTGCTACAACTGGAGGAATCTTCATTTAAGATTTTTTTCCATTATGTCTTTCATAACTGTATTAAATGTGAAGCTTTGTCCAGTTAATTTTCCAGTTTAATATGCAGCTAAAGTTTCCTCTGTACCCTTTTGTGATGGGTATAATTCAACCCATTTCACTTGAGAATGAGTTAAAGATTTAATTCAGTCTTAAAAAGAAGTTGCTAAATTACTCTTTCAAGCTAACCAAAGTATTGGACTGCCTGTTGATTGAGAGGAGTAATTATGAGCAATCAAGCTGAGAAATAAACTAGTTTTAATTAAATGCTGTTATTATAGTTGAGTTTATACCCAATAAAATAGTAAATCTCCATTCTGTATCTTCTACAGTTCGGTCACTTACTATACAGAATAAATGTTTCTAGTATAAAACCTTGACTACAAGTAACTATCCATTCTTCAATCGTTTAATGATATTTAGAGTTATTGCCATATAATTTATTACATGTTTCAACTAATTTCAGTCACAGTTCCTGAGTTCTTGCTTCATGGCTCCTGAAGTGGACTTGGCTTGAGAAGTCTGGGGCAGCGTTCCCTGTAGTATGCCCAGTCTGCCTCAGTGGAAGTAGCTGTATCATGTCTTCATTTGAAGAAGCAAAACTCAAGTGGTGAAACTGTGAACCTATCTGATCTGACCATGAAACTGGAAAATTGGAACTCAGAAACTTTGAGGGAATTGCACGCATTAAGTACTCGCTGCACAAAATCGTATTTCGTGTCTGATGTTTCTAAAAGGACCTTCGTAGATTCTGTGTGCCTTGCTCTCAAGTTGTACCTTAAGCCAAAAGGGGCAAATTTTCAAGTTTCTAGTCTGGTACTTTGACTCTAACTCAGTTTGCTTGTGATATCTGGTTGTCCTGGGGCTGTCAAAAATCACAAAGGATAGAGGAACAAATTGTGAAGGGAGTGTTTAAATGTCTCAAGAAGTACCTTAAGACTTCAGTCTGAGGGTTATAATAGCTGTTTCCCTAAGGCAAACTGTTGCTTGTAAACCTCAGTCTTTGGTACAGTAGTCTCTTGAAATGTAAACTTGAGGTTCACTTCCAAAAACTTCAGAAGAGTATATTCTTGCCTGTGAATACTGATGTTGCTTCTTGTCTCCTTCTGGCCTTACGGTTCTTGGCCTTTGGACTTTTACAAAAACACTGTTTCCACAATGGCTTAATCTTCAGCCTTGCCTTAGAGGAGTCGCTGCTTTCTGTCAAGTAATAGAGAATAATCTCAGTTGTTCTAGAACTTGGATAGAGTGTTGAAAGCCAGTTTCTTTTGTCTCATGTGTTGTAACTAAAAATAAATAGTTTTCATTTTGGATGAAGCAAAAGCGGTAGTTTTTAATTTTTCTACCTTGGGGTGAATACTGCCATGAATTTAAAAGATTTTGAGATTTCTGTTTCCAGTTTGATATTACTGGCTTTGGCATAAGGTTATTGTTTGCTTGGGTAACTTGTTTTGAATTGCTTAAAACTGATTTTCTAATGTTACTGCATTTTGGCTCTTTGTAATCCGGGATTCAGTAAGGTGGAAGAAGATAAGTTGTCTAATCATGTTTTCTTAATTATGGAATCAGGAAAATTGGAAATGGCTGAAAAGCTCATCATTATATTCCTATGCCTAATAAAATATGTTTTGCTTTGGCTGTAGTAATTTCTCCTGGTCAATTACCAGATTCCCCAGAGAGAGGGCTTTGTCCATGTAGATGGCTTTGAATTGAGTAATTCATACAGACTGTGGATGGGGTTTCTTTGGTTTGTTTTTTTTCCTTAAACCCCCTTCTCCCTGCCCCATCTTGTCAGAACTTTTCAAGACTTAAAACAGATGATTTCAAGCCTTCCTCCCTCAACCACCCAAATATGTGTTTGGTTTATGTGCCAGAATCTACTATTAAAACCAGTATTTTACTTTCACTGAGTAATTACGTGTAACTTCAAAGTACAAACAAGGAATGCAGAGCAGCTGAAACGAATTTTCGGAGCTTTTGCTTTTATCTGGACACTTTTTCCTCCTGTCTAGTTGCAAAGATTGATTTCTTCTGTGTGAATTATTCATGAACATGGCTTTCTGGCAGTACTGCTTTTCGGGTGATGCCATGCCCAAACTTAGGAACGATGAAGGGATTTGCCGGGCAGAGAAAACACATAGGCTATTCCTGCAATATGCTGAAAGTAAATTCAGTATGCTGGAAAATCAGTAGTTACTGGTAAGCATTTTGTATTTTTCCTAAGTACTTTTTCCTTTGAAAATTTTAGTTGTGTTTATGGAGTTCTACTGCCTAGAATTTTTATAAGCAATGTGGTACTTTGGTACAAGTAATCTAACTTCTGTAAAAAGGGTTAATGGAAATCTGCGAAGAGCAAAAGGACTGCAGATGTGTGACTAACCGCACCTGAGGTGACTTTCTTGGGGGCAAAACTTAATTTTAAAGGGAAGGGAGCATTTTCATGGTCATGCTGAGCTAAAGGTCGTGTGGGTTGCTGCCAAAATTGGGATTCTCCTCCTTGCCTTGCCTAGCATAAGGCTTTCTGGTTGCACGGTGCTGGTGCGGCTGAAAACTGGCTTGTTGAACTAGTTGCTTTTTTGCTGGATTAGTTGCCTGGTGGTAATCCTGGAGGTGCTCAAGGATTTATATATAAGGAAGAAGGAAATGTGCAGGGAAAAGATGAATCAAGCTTTAAGGCAGCTGCCCCTTTCAGTTGCATGTTTGGTTGAAAATTGCAGTAGATGAGTTGGCAGATCTAATTGAAGAGCTTCCAGTCATCAATACCAGAAGGGAGCTGGACTCTGGTAGCTCCTACATGCCAGACTGTTTAAGTGTCAATGGATTTTTGGTCAGATATTGTGCAGGAAGGGGAAATACTCAATGTGCTGTACTGTACTGGCATACGTTTTATCTGTTGTAGTTTCAGAGTTTCCAAGCAGTGGAAGATGATAGTGATGGTATAGAAACAGGAATTCTGAAAATGTAGTTTCTCTTGGATAAAAAACAAAACAGGATTACTTTCCTTAACAACCAGGAAACTATGGCTTTTTTGATTTTTTGGTGTGAGATTTGTTTGGTTTTTTCTTCCACATGAACCCTTTATGTCTTGAAGTAGGTCTTCCAGAAAGCTTTGCAAGAACTACACTGCATGCCTGTCTAGGTGTCGGGGGTGGGTGTTGTTCAGTTTCTCTCATGTTTTCCTGCTTTCAGTAAGTTCACCAGCTGATCCCTAGGTCATACTTGGGTTTGGTTCCATTTGTGACTCAGGCCTTTGGGCCTGTGTCGTAAAAGATGGAGACTGATACCTTCAATAGGCTTCCTATGCAGTGTTGGTCATCACCGTCCTAATTGTTCTCTGAGGAAAATGTCAGTATTGAAGGGACTTGAACATGAGGTAGAGGCAGTCGTGATATTCGTAATGTTTAGGGGCCGATGAGAGCCTGCATACAGCGACGCTGTGTTCTAGGGAGCTGTGGTTTGATGCCTGAAGGCTGTAGTAATAGTCACCTTGGCATGCAAACACTTGAGTTACTTCTTGCACAGGATACAGGAAAGCCCTACAAAATAAAGACTTGGGGAAAATTTAGGAGAACCTTTAAAAAGAATAAGACTCTTCAAAGAACTGATGTCATATTGAGACAAAGAACTGTTTATCATGCTGTAATTTCTCACATTGTTAGTTGTGGCTTATCTTTAGAGCACTGGATTAGCCCATGCTTGGGGTCTTTCTTATTGGTAGGTGGTTGTGGATGTCTGGTTGGGGATTCCCTCTTCTTATTGCTCCCTGAACTACTCAGTTTAGGATCTGATGAGCTGAGTCCTGCACACATTAAGGAATTGAGTGTGTTCTTCAGAACTAAAGTAGAAGCAGTGCTGGAGCATTTCTGAATCAGAGGGGCAAGAAATAAGCACATCAGTATGTTGGGTGTTGTCAGAATGTTCCACTTGATGGGAACTGGCGCTCTTTAGGATGAATACATTACGGTACATCTTTTATTTCAATGTAGTGTTTGGGTATAGCTCACATCCCAATAGCAGGGGCCTTTGTGGGTGAAAAGGTCTGGCTATTGGCATCTCCAGCTGTCAGTGAGTGAGGAGTGCTGGGCTGCAGCTGCAGTAGGCTTCTTTCTGCCTTTGAGAGAAGTTCGTTTGATGTTGACAAGACAAAAGGCAACAACTCTTCTTTCAGGTTAAAAAAAATAAAACATGCTACCTAGTTTTGAATCCAGTACACTTGCTCTTGATCTCTTTCTGTATGTCCTGTCACTTTTATTTTAGGTTTCCACAAATACTTTATCTAGCTCAAGGTTGGCACATCTGTGATGTGAGTGCCAGAAATGACAACTCTTTTTCTTCTTTTTGTGTTTAAAACTTTTTGCAGAATCGGAGCATCTAAAGTGTAGTTTTATGATTTCACCGTTTTTCAGTATTCATTTTTTTTCTCCTTATTTATTGTGGTTAACATTAAAGGTCAGGCATTGTCATGCAGCACAACGCAGCTGTCACTTCTTCCACACACAA